TTTAGTGTCTGAAAGATTTTCCATCAAAGCTTTCAGAATAATCCTGCTTCCAACATCAGATAAGCAAAGAATAAAGGAAAAGCAACCAGAACCAAGCAGAACCTCCTGCAGATTCTTATTTAAATTTTATTTTCTTAACAGCCTCCCTGTTTTGGAGAAATGTCCATTTTCACGCAGGATGCTGAGTTTAAAAGCTGGAGCAAATATGGTTATTACACCTACTTCTTCAATTTTACCTGTTTTATTCAGAGAGGTTTTACTTTTCGCTGGTTTAAAGTGTCCCAAAAACATTTTTTTTTTCCCTTCAAATTGTTCCCAAAAAGTAAAAAAAAACCCAACCCACTTTTTAACTTACGCTGGAAGGACTTTGCCCTGGATGGCTGAGAATCTTCAGCAGCATCCTTCAAATTGTTCATCCAGTTCTAATACTTTACATCAGATCAGTTTTTCAGATCTTAACAGATGTTTTCCTCCTTCTATCTGTCTTCTCTATCTGATACCATCACAGTTTTGCAGGTTGCAGCAGAAGCACTTTGAGGTGCAAACGTGTCAGTAGCGTGACGGGTTGGTTTAATCCACCATTAAATGGATGCTAAAGCTGCTCAATGCCAAAATGATTGGACTGATATCTACAATGTTTGACCTAAAAGGCCTGCTAGTTTTTGGTTACATAACTTAAATCTTCTTGAAGTCTTCCTAAGGAGTTATAATATTTTACTTAAATTAAAATGTACCTTAACCATCATCAGGAATTCTTTCTTCAACATGAAACCCGTGTAAGTTTAGAGGAAGTTTGTCTAAATCTGTTTATATATTGAGCCAGCAGCCACTGAACCAGCTGACCAATGAGGAGATCTCCATAGGTTACCATATTCCAGCCAAGCTTAGAGCAGAGGCCTTTTCTCCTAACTGCCTGCTTCTTTCTGTTTTAATGCTGTTTTCATACAAACACTGATAAACTTACCTGCTGAGACAAGTGAACAAGCTGCGATGATCAGAACAAAGCTCAGCTCCATCATAGGGGGGAGAAACTGATGAAGAGGAAAAATGGAGGATAGGAAAGACGCTTGAGCTCAGGTCGACACGCCAACAACAGCAGAAGTGATGAGAAAGGAAATGATGCAGAGCTGCAAAAACTCCTCAGCCCCACCACCACCTTCTCCATGCCGTGAAGAAGTTCATCCACAGATGGCGGCTGCAGCTTTTGCAAAAGAGCAGATTTCCTCTCATCAAAGCAAACTGGGTGAAAAAGGGGGTGGAGATAGAGAGAAAGAGCGATGAACGTGTAGGAAGCAGGAAGAGATAGGAGAAGGTAGTGAAGAAAAACACAACTTTAGCTGCTTTCAGTATCCTGGGTTGCTGTGAGGGACACCAGATGTAGTGTAGAACTATCACACATAGATCTACACCACAGCGATATGATGATAGAATCACTGAATGATGTAAAGGACTCTTCTTTTTTTCATCCTCCTATTTATTCAAACTCACATCCTTTCTTAATACTATTATAATGTTACTGATGAC